CCTGCAGCAGCATCTGCGTGCGATGGGGTGCAAGGGCGGAGTCTTGTCCCCTCTGCCCGACTACCATGTCCTTGGCTGTGCAGCATTGTGTGGGCCGTGCCCAGGGGTGACTCTCCTCCCGAGGGCTGCTGGTGAGGAGGGGGCCGTGGGTGGAGGTGGGGCTGGGGCGACGGTTTATGTGCCCACAGAGAGGACTTCGAGTGCCGCCTCTGGCACCCGTGCCATAGGTTCACCACCACTGTCCTAGGAGGCCCATGTTTAGCAGAATTTGCCTCTCAGTAAATGTTAGAGAAATTTAACTCTTGCTTCATTCATCACTCTGATTTTATGCCTCTTTGAAAGATATGCAGTTTGCTTTTGGAAGGCATCATCAACATCAGCTCTTTGGCTGAGAGAGCAATTCTATATGCCAAAAAACCATATTGCTTCTATTTGCTTTTATACTTATTTTAACATAGTGGATCTTGCCAATTCGTTCTTTAGAATTTCTGAGTGGAATTGATTTTTTAAAAAAATACACATTGCAATTCCTCCTTTCTATTGCTTTTGTTCCTTTTTAACAAATAGTATCTTTCAATTGCTCTATTCTCAGACATAGGAATCATCCAATCAAGATACATATTAAAACATATTTGTCTTTCTGTTCTAATAGCTTGAGCTAATCTCATTTATTTCTCATATTTTGAAAATTAGTCAAGGACAGCCAGGAATATTTTTTTATTAATCTTTGTTAAGTGCAACTCATTTTCATCCCATTAGGATACTCCAGAACTTATTTCCAACAAACAAATCTTTCAAGGCTGTCCAAATAGTCAATATCATTTATATTGTCTATCTATTTCCATTTCCAGTTTTTTTTATAGACTGGAAGTATGGATGAGTGCATCACTTGAGCTGCTACAGTCATGAGCTTCCTTCTTAAATCTGCAAAGTTTGTAGCGATATATTTATAGAGGTTCTTTGCAATATCATTTGGTCCCATTTATATTAGCAGAAAAGAATAACTGTCAAATAAGTTAAGAAGTTGTTTTGTCACATCCCTAATCCTTGTTATGGACAGATAACATCCTTTATAATTCAATTAACCAGGTTAATTAAATTAAATTAAATTAACCAAAGGAAAGAGTGGCTGCTAGATGACTTCAAGAAGACATGTTATTGTGAATGAAGCCAGCTTGTTAAATTACCAACAACTAATTTCAGATTTATACTCCACATCCCCCAAAATGAGAACTATCTACAGCAGGCATGTCAAACTCACGACGTCACATGACATCGCACAACATATCGAGTTGGTTTTGCCATTGCCGGCAATGGGGTGGGCGCAGCTTTCACGTGATGCGTCCAGCCCATGGGCCGGCAGTTTGACACCCCTGCTCTACAGCCTCAGAATCTGATTGAACCCAGCTCCTCCTTCTGCTGGATATAAAAAAGGCATAGGTAGTCCTCAGCTTACAACTACAATTGAGCCTGTAATTTTGGTTGTAAGTCAGGTCACCATGTGACTGTGCTCAATTTCATGACTGTTTTTACAATGGTCATTAAGCAAATTACCATAACTCTTAATCATGTGGTCATTAAGTGAAACACATAGTTGTAAGTCCAAATCTAGCTTATCCAATGAGCATTTTTTTGCTGGAAAGTGACAAAAAAAGGCACAAAATGTGATTTTGTGACCATAGGATGCTGTAACTCAGTGTTTCTCAATCTTGACAATTTTAAGGCATGTGGACTTCAACTCCCAGAATTCCACAGCCAGCATTGCTGGCTGTGGAATTCTGGGAGTTGAAGTCCACATGCCTTAAAATTGTCAAGGTTGAGAAACACTGCTGTAACTGGTCCTAAATGCAAACTAATTGCCAAGCACCTGAAATGCAATTATGTGACCATGGTGTGTGTGTGTGTGTGTGTGTGTGTGTGTGTGTGTTGGGGGTAGTGGTGAGGAAGTCATAACTTTGAAGACAAGTCATAAATAACTTTTTCAAGTCTGTCATAATTTGGAATGGTCATTAAGCAAGGGTTTGTAAGTCAAGGACTACCTGTACATCTGCTTAAAAACAAAGTGCTCAAGTCCCACTCAATTGTGCAAGGTCAAGGAAGCAAGAACTACACTTTTCAGCAAGGCAATTGTAACATTAATCAGACGTAAATAAAGCATCTTGGAAATGGTAATAAGAATTTCCAGCCTTGTTTATACTCAGTTAATTAAGTCAGAATCTCTAAGCAATTTGAAATGATTCTTCCCAGATCTCTGTCCACATGAACTAAGTTGCCTTTGAGGTAAGCTGACAACTGACTTACTATCTTTTAATTGTTTATGTCTGTATTTTCTTTCATTGTTTTTTTAGTCTCCCTAGAAACTCACACAAAAACTCCAGAAATCCATATTGACAGATAGGCAAAGAATGTGTTTTTCTCTATATATAATAATTTTGAGAAACTATGTGGAGTTCTCAAGATGCAGAGAAGATCAGGGAATTATAACACAGAATCATATAGCTTTAAGTAATTGCTGTTTTTGAAGAAATAGTGCAAAATCCCAGCCTGATGTTTTATCAAAGTTTTTATATCTGTGTGTATTGAGCTAAATCTAATTGTATCTCACTCTTTATACAAGTCAGAAATTGGATGTAAATATAGCTTTTATATATTCTTCAGACTGCATTCATAAGATATAAAGTCTTGTACAGAATCTTTTGGTGAACTATAATTGCAATGAGCATAGAGGATGGTCTTGAAGGACAGAAGGAATATTTGTTACTAAGGCAACAAACAGATAAATGAGTCTTGATTCCAAGGCAAGAAAATGGTTTATAAAAATGCCTCGGTTAGTCCTTCCCCTTAATTCAGGGGTCTTCAAACTTGCCCTTTTTCTGACTTGTGGACTTCAACTCCCAGAATTCCTCAGCCAGTCATGCTGGCTGAGGAATTCTGGGAGTTGAAGTCCACAAGTCATAAAAGGGCCAAGTTTGAAGACCCCTGCCTTAATTCATATGAAGATAAAAGAGGGAGCAAGGGAAGCACATTCAGAGTCTGTTATTATAATTGTTTTAAGTAGCTTTAGGCCTGCATAGTTTTAGTTTCTTAGTTTGATCTACTTTATAGGGCTGACAGTAATGTTGGTAATTCTTTTCCCAGTCCCTTCATGGAAATGTCTGAAAAAAAAAGGGTTCTCTTGTAGCACACCATTGCCACACTATCATCTTGTAGTTTGGACTATTGGGCTTTCTTTTAGATATTTTTGCTTTGAAGAAGTTGCCTGTTGACATATATAATGAGGCATGCAGTTCTGTACATACATTTTACATACCAGAGTTAGGAGGGGTCCCAAATAAAATATCTCTTAGAAGATAGGTAGTGGCAGCAGGAATTATCAAGCTTAAGGTGACCCACTTTTTTACAATGAAAAGGAGGACACAAATAAATTGAAGAAAAAAATATTGTAAATAAAAGAAAATAAAAGAAACATTTTATTCATTGCAACAATAATACAGACAACTTGCATGTGCAAAGTTTGCCAGCCGGGTGTTTTGGCACACTCAGCAGCAATTCCTATTGGCTTTCAAAAGCCAATAGCAGGAGTAACACAACACATACAAAAGTTGAAAAAAAAAACCATCAAAAAAAAGGTGCCGGAACGCCATTCTAAGTGTTCTATGAGAAAAAAAAGCACTGCAGATTAGTCTTCAAATATCAAAAAGGAGGACATGTAGGAGGATACTTTTTGAGGGAGGACAGAACTTACAAAAGAAGGACTGTCCTCCCTAAAGGAGGATAGTTGGTCACCTTAAATTCAAGCTAATACCTAAAAGTAGAAGGTAGGATTTGAGTGTGAAGATTCAGAGGACTTCTGGGAGAGGAGGTTTGTGTCAGGCTTTTGAGGTAGACCAGGTCAGGGAACAGACAAAACAAAAACTACTGGAATTCTACTTTATTGTTTTAAGGTAAAATAATGGAATCTTCAAAGCCTGTCAGGTTTCTTTCTCCTTCCCTCTTATCCAATCAAGGCAGGGTAAGCTTGAGTTTCTTCCTTGTTATCTCTATCTTTCTGCGCTAAGCTGATGTTTTCAATGATGGCTGTTGCATAATATCTTTAAGATTATCTCCACAGTCCTCTACAACAGTCGCAAAGTGCAGAGATTGATTATATGGTGTTCACAGGATTGATTATTGACTGATTGTGTGCCATCATATCAGTGTTGGCTCTTAGTGAGCACATAGATCAGGGGTTCTCAACCTTGGCAACTTTAAGACTTGTGGACTTCAATTCCCAGAATTCCTGAGCCACTTTGCTGGCTCAGAAATTCTGGGAGTTGAAGTCCACAAGTCTTAAAGTTGCCAAGGTTGAGAACCCCCGACATAGATAAATCTTTAAATCATTTGTCTGAAGTAGGAATAATTTGAACTAGGTCATTTGTGCTTCAAGTGTGAATTCTGAGTTGATTTGTTTGTTTATCCATTTGTTGGCTATGATATTCTCAGAATACTAAATTTCAAAAACAACATACTCTTTCTATTCTGCTTCTTTAAAGTCTAATTTTCACTTCCATAATGTCACAAGAGTACAATTACTGATGTTTGTAGTTATAGACACATCAGAACATTTGAGTTTCTTTTTCAAGATTTTCAGAGCTATTTCTACTAAGTGGTAATCTGTTGTAAATTGCTTCACTGCATGTTCCTTTATGTTGATGTTCACAGGATAAGGAAGCTTATCCTTATAAATTTATCCAATTTATATAGCTCCCCCCATCTCACCAAACAGAGTGACTGTGGACAGCATACAGCAAAGCTAAACAGTCCAAAAATATCTAAAACCATTATATATATCAATCATTAAAACCCTAAAAAGAACTTTAAAAAGAGAGCAACAACAAATAAACAACAGATAACAATGGAGCTACCTCACTAGTTCACTCTCCCTCTGGGGCCCCAGGCCTACTGGCATAATCAGGTCTTAAAGCACCTTTGGAAACTCAAAAGAGATGAGGCTGACTCACCTTGGATGAGAAGATCCCCCAGCAGAGGCACCACAGCAGAAAAGGCCTGCTGCTTAGGACCCACGAAATGTAGCTCCCTGGCACTCATAACATGCCCTCTCTGCTAGATTTGTGAGGTGGGCAAATGAAATCAGAGAGAGGCAGTTCCTCAGATAACCCAGTCCTATGCCATGAAGGGCTTTAAAGGTGAACCTTGAATTGGACCTGAAAAAAAAAAAACCAGTGTAGCTCATGAAGCAGAGATATGTGTTTTGCCAAAGACACACATAAATGCCCACACTATTGCATTTTGCACCGGCCAGATACTCTTCAAGGGCAGTCCCAGAGTACACTGCAATAGTCCAACTAGAAGGTGATCAAGGAAAGAGTGACCATGAGTCCCTTGAATCCAGGAACAGGACTAGGAACATTGTCAATAATGTACCTTCCTCATATAATAGCTGCAGTGAGCATCAATGAATTTTTAGCATCTTCCAATTTCCAATTAATCCCAGTTCTTTTTAAGATCTGATGCAGCTAATCTGACTGTTGTTTGATTTGGCTAGTATATTATTCTATAAAAATACTGTACACGCGACTGTATAATATTTTTGTAGTCAGATAAAAGTAATTAAGGAAATGCTTTGCCAAGCATTTAGTATTTGGAATTCAGTTGTGTTTCTCTGTGATAAAGTTTTATGCTCTCTAGTAATGTATCAGCCACATACATGCAATGAAGCATAATTTTTTTTAAAATCAACCAGAAATATAAATCTTAAACTGATACCTGGAATAAATACTATCTCCCAAATATTTTGGTAAAAAACAGCTTGAAGAAACCCACATGGCATATTATTTATTATAGGATATCTGTAGTTGCAATACAAGAGACTGTTCTTGTACCTCTTTGTCTGTTATCCAAGATCCTTGCAAGGTAGGTCAGAAGTGCAGAATTAAAACAATTACATAGTCTGCCACCATTCCCTTTCAGATTTATTGTAGAAGAGGAAAGAACCCAGAGTAAGAGATACTTGGCTGCCAGGGAAGAGGGCCATTTAGCTTGCTCCCACTCACTTCAGGCGTACCTGGGTAACTACAAACCTTGTAGTTACCCACACAGCCCTTATAAAAAATCTGCAAAGAAATCCAAGTTAACTTCCCTCCACAAAGGTAATTAAAAATAGTGTAGGATAATTAAGGAAATAGTGAAACATACAATTTGAATAGTAAGTAAAATCCAAAAACATTGGTCTAGCTATCAGTGGTATTTAGTGCTGAGATAAGGTACTTTAGCGAAGTAGGGCTGATTGAATAACAGCTGGGTCAGTGAGTCAGTCAGGAACTGCCCAAGAACATTAAGAAACAAGAACAAGAAAAAGGCATTTTGCATATTGTTCACCTGAGTGACTATTCTTTCTCTGATCAATGAGTAAGATTGTAGCAAGCATGGAATATGTCAGCATATACTTTCAGTAAGTGAGAATAGGTAGAACAGTTCCTACCAATAGCCTGGTACATTTTCCAAGAAAAGTAGCTGAGATATAACTAGTCAAGTTAAGAAATCAGCCATCTTGGCTAGCACCAAGGGGATTTTAAGAATGGCCAAAAAAAAAAAAAAAAAAAGCCAAGCTGCATGAGGTACTATTGCATAGAAATGAACAGCCAAAGAACAGAGTGGGAGGGACTTGCCACTGCCAGGAACAAAGCAAGAAGTTGTACAGAGGACAGACACAGTTTACTTAAAATGGCGTGGCCATGCTGTGCCTATGTAAGGGCCTGTAGTGTAGGGTATCCATCACTCTTATATATTATCTGGCCATGGTTGCCAATATGTAGGCACCAGGCATTCCATTTGTACTGTACTGCTACTATGTAGTAGGGCTAGGCAAATAAGCTGGAGAGGATTTTAATCACAATACTAAGCCCTGTTCTTGAAGCTGTGAAAAGGTCATGATCTCATAAAGGTTTAGCATAGTCACTCTATGAGTCTTTCAAGTCATTTGCTTATACAGAAAACCCCTCCAGTTGGGGAATTGTTGTCAAATAATTCATACAGCCCTATTATGTAATATATACTACTGTTCATCCCAGACTAGTAAAGAATTACAGAATTTTATTTTTTGTGAAATAAAATTATGGGAAACATTACAGATCTCATTATCTAACAAGTAATAGAAGACTGATGAATCAAACCAGTTATTCAGCTTTTATGTTTATTCATAAATTACCATGTATATGGTACATTGTACAAGAAAAGAATCCAATTCCAGATAAACTGTAAATATCATGCTGGTATGTTTTTAATCTCCGGGTCATCTGTCAAGGTTCAAGTCTGAATGTAGGGCTTTAAAAACTGCTCTTTCAAAGCACAGGCCAGGTAGACAATAACCCTCCTTCTCCTAGTAGTTTAATACATTAAGTGGGCAAAAGATGTACTACAGTGACAATAAGCAGACAGAAGCGTAATAATGAATTAGGGCAAATAGTGTTTATCACATTCCCTTTCTACTCTATAATAATGCAATGGTATGCTTGCTCGTTAAACTAAATAACCAAGGAGTTGCCATTTCTTTTTTCAATTTCACAACTTGTATCCATTGATTTGTCTTGTTTTGTTCTTAAGGTATCACTACTACTGATCTGTCAGTCCATTGCTGTTACAGACTGTTACTTGATGTTGTGTGGGCAATTATGATAAGGTTTCCAATCCAGTTGAAGCAAAACAAGGATCAACTAATTTATGATATCATCTACCAAGCCTCACTGACTTTTCAAACTTCTTACATTACTCCATCATCCATACAATAATTTTTGGAGATAACATACAGCAACACTAGAGAAACAACCATTCTTAAGTAACTCTGGGAGGATTGTATTCAGTAGAATAAACAGGGGAACCACAAATGCAGCAAAAATGGCTTACCAAATGTTAAAAGTGCAGTGAAATGGATTATTATCTAAAAGCCTTTCATCTGGCATATATGGTTTACATTTATTTGAAAACCATCCAGAATCACTTAGGTAAGATGGACAATGTAAAGATAGATAGATAGATAGATAGATAGATAGATAGATAGAGAGAGAGAGAGAGAGAGAGAGAGAGAGAGAGAGAAAGAAAAAGAAAGAATAAAGTCATTTTAATCTAAAACAGAATCATGAGACCTCTAAAATAATCTAACATGAGACAGTGATAGCCATCAATTCAGAGATCTTTAAAAGGAAATAGACAAATCCAGGGACAGAGGCTACAATTTAAATCTCTATTAGCTACAACCACTGTACATATAAACAAGTATAAATTCTCATTTGAGTCAAAGTTGATTCCTGGTGATTTCATGGACACATCTATGTAGTTTTCTTGGCAACTGTACAATGTGTTTGATTCTGCCTTCTTTTAGGATATTTTTTTTAACTTTTCATTGTAATCTACAACCCTGGTATTTCCTAGTGATTTCCCTTCCAAGTACTATCTCTGTTTGGCATACTGAGATCAGCCAAAGTTGGCTAGGTCGTACTACTTAACCCTATATTAACCCTATAATAATGTGGTACTCATATATCACTGCTGAAGAGCACATGTGAGAGGATGCTACTGTGTTACATTTGAGCAACACTCTCCTGGGCTCATCTATAAAAATGATTTCACATAATTTCTGATTTTTTTTCCAGATACAGAGTAGCCTTCGTTAGCTTGCTATCTTTCATATATGTTGGGATTTTATTATTCCCAAAGATATAGCCACTGACTGGCTAGGAATGAACCCAATACATCTAGAAAGTATCAATTTGATTTAAAGAAAGAGTTGATTTAATTGGTAATATATTGACATCTTAAATGTATCAACATTCTTCCCCTTTGAATTCACATTTCCCACTGAGGTAGTCATACTAAAGTAACCTTAGTAAATTCGAGATATATAGATTTCAACTCTGGGTAATGAAGTCTATATATTGGGAGTTGAAGTCGACACATCTTAAAGTTCAGAGTAGATGCTTTAGAGCAGTGGTTCTCAACCTGTGGGTCAGGACCCCATTTGGGGTCGAACGGCCATTTCACGGGGGTCTCCAAACAAGGCTGTCTGCCATTTTTTCCCCCTTTTCTTTGGCCACGCCCCTGGCACCCGGTGATGTATAAGTGGTTGGGGGTCACCACAACATGGGGAACTGTATTATGGGGTCATGGCATTAGAAAGGTTGAGAACCACTGCTTTAGAGGTAGGAGTAATGTGGCAATACACTCATTTCACAGACAACTGTAGGTTTGCCTATAGAAAACCTTGGAGTTTTTTTTTCCTTTTCTTTTTTTGCATTTCCTGCTTAAAGGGGAAACAGAAACATATAAACCACAAAAAGCTTTCCCCCTCCCCCCAAAAATAGGTGTACTTGCAACTACAGACAATCTAGTAACAAGTCTGTGATATGTCATCCCATTAGCATCTGTAGGGTGCAACAACATCAAAATGGCGGGGCATGATCAGGCATTTGAAGCCTTTTTTTAATGTGCCATCCATACATTCTATGCTTATAAAAAAGGGCAAGGCTTCTATCATGTCAATCATCCTTGCCCTTTTGATGGTATTGATATACCCTTTCCCCCCACAGATATGCCTAGGTAAACTTGATCCAATCATGATTTGAGGAACAATGCTGTAATCACCCATACAAGTTATGGAGAATCTTTGCATCCCAGTCACTTAAAATTTCTAACGGAACTATCCTATGCCTATCAAAGCAACATGCAACATACAGATTGTTGCCTGGGGCAAATTCCTGCTTTGCATATATGCCCAACAACTTAATTCATGTTTTAACAGTGGCAATATTTTTCACCAGCAACTCATTTTCTGCAAGAAATATTACTTTCCCCAACCAGAACTTAAGATAGAAATATCTTGACACTTCTGAATATTTTTCTTATGCTACTCTTTTATTTACATTACACATACATTCATATCATATACATGATGAAATTTTCGTATTTGTCCAGAATGATAGCAGCAGTCTAGGATATAAAGCAGAGGTTGTTTTGATTATCTACCAAAGAGGCCAAGACTACACCTGAAACTTCAACACACAAAGCATGTACTCTAATAGAACCATACCGCCCTCCTTTTCTGATCAGTCCATGTTCATATATATGTCCATTACAACATGTTCCATCCAAGATAACAACATGGCATGACAAACAGTTCTTTGCAGTCATCCTACATGCTCCATAGAGTATT